GTAAAGTTTTTATGATGGATTAGTATTGATGGCTTTGACATAATTTTTATTTTTTAGAATTTCAAAATTTCTATCATTTTAACTTATTCGATTTTTTTACTCCGATTTTTTGAGCCTAGTACGATATATTGGCGATATCTTGACATGAAGTATTTTTTCCAATCCGTATTTTTTATCTGATTTTTTTAGCCGACTTTTTAAAATAAAAACGAGTGCGCCAATTTATTCAATGTCCCCGACTTGCTAACTTTGGTGCAACCCATGTGCATTTTGTTAGTATGCATAAAAAGTGCAAGTGAGAGCGAGAAAAGCCAAAAACCATAATTTTTGAAAAACACTGCTAATTTCAAAGTCATATCCTAAAGCAAAAACTTTAAATTAAGAGAAACGGCTACTAAAAACAAGTATACTCCAAAAAAAATACTAAATTCAAATATAAACCTAATTTATCATAAGCTGTATTTTCGTTAGATTATGATGTAGTTTAAGAGCTTTCCTAAAGCCTCTATCTCATAGAAAAACCCTAAATTGAATATCCTATTAATTTGACGATTATATTTCATTAAAAAACTACTTATAATAAAATAAAAGTCTGTAAGTGAGAGAAACAAAAATCTCGATAATCACAAAAAGACTGCATCTAACAAAATACTTTCTATCTTTGAAATCCCTCATTAAAAGACAAACCCTAAGTTGTCATTCTTCCATAAAAGTACATCAATAAATATTTGAAAATACCTAATTGTCTAAGTTTTCTCTTTCCAATTTCCTTCAATTTGATTGATCTTTTTTATTCTTCTAATTTTTATGAGCTGTGTCATTGGATTTTTCTAATGAACCTCTTTTGCTTTAGACTCTCTCTTCACCCCCTTTCTCTCTTTGTTTTGCTTCTTTCTTCTCCTTTTTATGCTCACAGGCTGTCTCTCTCTCTCTTTGTTGGGTATTTATCTTAAAAAAAATACGTATTCTCTCTCATGCAATCTCTCTCTCTCTCTCTCTCTCTCTCTCTCTCTTTATTTGAAAAAAGACGGACGTAATATCTCTCACGCTCATTGATGCATTTAAAAGATATGTAATCTCTCTTCAGTGCATTCAAGAGGCACACACTCTCTCTCTTCTAAATGATTTCTCTCTGTCTCTCTCTCTTATGCATTTAAGACGTATGGTCTCTCTCTTGGATATTTATCTTTAAAAAAACGTAATCTATTTCTTGTACTTGCAATTTTGAAGCAATTAAGAAAGGGATTTATACATAAAATTGGAAAAATTTAAGGACATTAATTAAATAGTGCTAAAATAAAAGGATATTAACATTAGTTTCCTATGATTTTAATTATTTAATTAAATAATTTGCTCTATGACAAATTTTAACTTATAATTAATGATAAACTAAATTAGATTTATCAATTACCATTAATTGAATTAGATTTATCATTTAAACATTTAAGAAGTTGATATTTTAAAATTGTCCTCATAAAATGGAATTATTCTAATTATGATTTTTTCAAAAATATAGTCTTTTATATGACTATCAAACCTTCAAAATAGATTTGATGTTTCACGGTCCAATTCAAATTTATATTCTATAAAGTGCTTCTTTTAAAGTAATTTTAAAATTAATGGAATATTTTATTAATGATATGGATTTTATAGGGTCAAAGCGTTATATGGTCATTTAGTTTAAATACATAGGTGAGTTGGATAAAACATTATAGTGGGATGACATTTGGTCATATCTTTCCTATTTAATGCTTCTGTTCAAGTGAGAAAGGGTAAAGTTTGCTTTCTTAATATGGTCCCGAGGGATCATATTGTATATTTTACGTCTTGAGGTAAAAGACTTGTTAAGTAATATTTTTAATTTAAAATTGACAAATCTTTATTTTCTAGAGGTTGATGCTAAGTTGAAAAGGTTAGATCCACAAAATTGTAGTTCATTACTATATCTTGCATAGTATTTTACCCTAAATAGCATGTACCTGTGAGAGCGTTTCCATTAACTTGTTACGCATGTGGTACTAATAATAATAATTATATAATGTACATAACATTTTGTGGAAATTTATTACTATTACCCGAACCTATATGGCATTTTATATATAATAGATTGCTGACCCCCATCTTGTAGCTTGTTATTCAATAAAGAGTGTACCGATCAAAGTTCAAAGGTTTATATATAAGGTCTTCATTAGAAGAGAGGAGAAAAGTTGTAGTTGGGCTGAAACCCAGAAGCATGAAGTGGGAAAGTGGTAGAGTAGAAGCAGAGAGACTTGCAGTGAGTTTGAGAGCAAAAGAGAAGAAAAACAAGAGGGGAAAAGAAGAAGAGAGAAACACAGAAAAGAAGAAAAAGACCTAGCTAGAAAGTGAACATAATCAGAGTAAAGTGAAAATAAAACATAACAAAATATGTTATTAGATTTCTGATTCTGCTTTTGGGGGTTAACTGTTGAGCTGTTCATGTTCCTCCTGTTTCACAAGCTTGTCTCTCAGGGCTGGGTACCTGCCGTGCGTGTGTTCTTCACTGGCCATTAGTGTCCTGGCCTCTCTATTGGTGAATGTTTGTTCATTATGGGGAACACAGGTCTCCTTCCTCTATGGGGTTTATTCCTTGTGTAGCTTTTCCAAAAGCTGAAAGTTTTTTGTGCTACAGGACTCTGGTCAAAAGGGGGAGAAAAACATACAAGAATGGAAGAAATGGGGGAGGGGGGGGGGGGGAGTTGGAAAGCTTCTTAAAAATAGGAGCAGAAAACAAGAAACAATTGTGGAGAAAATAGAAGAACTTCTGAAGCATCATTAGGCTGTTAAGTGCAATGTCATGGCTTACATATGTTGGAGACCGCTCATGGGGACTAGCTAGGAGCAACGATATCATCTTCCCTTCTCTTCCATTAAAGAGGCTGAAGAATTTAACTTCTTTACTTGAAAGATTTAAAAGGGCATCAGCCCTTTTCGGGCCCTTTTATCGTTGTTTGAATCCATCATGACTTCTGGCCAGTCAAGTCAGACATTCTTTTTGTTTTTGTGGTTTCTGGCCATGGATGGAAAAGCTTAGGGCAAAAATTAGTCCCTAAGGCATTCATTTAAAAAAGAAGAAGAAAGAGTCAGTCTCGAAGTTAACACTTATATTAATGATGGGTGAAGATTGAGGTCAGTCTCGAAGTTAATACTTATATTAATGATGGGTGAAGATTGAGGTCAGTCCCAAAGTTAGTACTTATATTAATGATGGGTGAAGATTGAGGTTCTGATCACCATCGCAAGGGTAGAAGACACTGGTTTAACAAAAAAAAGGGCTGGGATGGTACCGTCCTTGCTAAGATGATGTCAAGACTGTTATCTTGTGCCGATTATCATCAACCACGCTATCATCTAATTATTTGGAGAGTTATCCACCGGACATAATAGGTTTGATATATACCAATTTCTCAATGACACAAGATGGCCTTTCCAGTTCTGGAAGATTGATGAGCTCATGAGAATAAATGAGGCTCAGAAAGCCACTTTGCCACAGGCAGTGGACCAGCTGATGCAGAAGCAGCCACAGCGATGGAAGTGGGATGGGAGTAGCTGCTGCAGGCTTTAGAAATCCAATAGATGGTCACTAAAATGTTGTTTATATGGTCTCGAAAGAATTGTAGTCTTTTAATTGCACACGGAGGAATGGTCCTCCAAATTGGGACCAAATTTCAGAATAGATGTTTTTTATATGAACAAAAAGATAATAAATCAAGTAAAATGAGATAATTTTTCGAGAAAAAATATTACCTTCCATGTATCTCAAACGAATACGTGGAAGTGGAGAGACATAACAGGTGGGAAAATTTAATGACAAAGATTAGGAGGGCAGTGGGACTCCTCTCCTGCAAGGCAGTTTCTGCATAATTAACTATTGCTTATAGAAATGCAGTAATAAAATTGATTTTCTTGAGGCAGCTTTGTCCATAGCAACTTGTACAAAGAACATTTGCCGCAAAGGTTATCTGACCATAGGACAGCATAAGAGAAAATCCCCATTTTGATTGATTGGGAAGACAACTTCATAAGCTTGGTGGTGTAGATATCTTGCGCTAGCAAGGGGTGCTGGATTTCACATAATTTGGAAAGTTGATGGTTGTATGGAAAACATCAGTCTCCAATGATTTTCATTTTACCTATTTGTTAACCTTGTTTTTGTTAGGCGTGCTTATTAACTAATCACCTCTTTTTACTATTATAAACATTAATTTAGAGGCCTGTTTGTATCTTGCTATAACTTTATAGACCGATGTTCAAAACCCAAAAAGTTGGCCAATTCTGTCATTGTCAAGTATAAGAACTGCTGTGCTAAACACTTATTTCCCAAAAACTTGGGCAAGTTTTTCAAAACTTGTACACCATTAGGGGAAAAAAGCATCTATAGTGGAATTCATACCTAGTTGGTCACTGAGTCAAACTTTATGGCTACCTCTTGACTCAATTCATATGACAAAGCAGGCATACATGCACATACACAGACATGCACAACAACTGGGGTACAGCCAGGTTTCTCAGTTTTAAAACTCGGCAACTGGCCAAGTCCAGTTGACTTGATGAGTTTTGTTTCGAAAGTGAATTTTTTACTGCTAGTTGGCTATGAACGTCTTGTAGTATTAACTTACAGTAGAACTGTTGACAGAGAATCCAACTGTACCCAAAAATGATTTATCTTCTTTCTTAACTGCGAGTAATGTAATAATATCAGCCTTTATTTGATGAGTTCTGCATTGAAATGGAAAAATTTCTGTTTTCTAGCCTCTTTAATCTAAAGAACAAGGGAATCTAATGCGTATTATAGTCTGGCTTATTCTCAAACTTGCAAGTGTCGGTAGTTTCATATACCTATCAAATGAGAAATGGAAATGCATTGTGCATGTAATGGTGTTCATATGTTTGTCATTTGTTGCCTCTTTACTTATATGTGGGTTGATATCATCATATCTTCATTGTTTTGGCAAGAACTAATCGTGACACAAATCTTGCAGCCCTAAATCATTCAAACATCTGGTGAATGATTTCCCAGCATTTGCTTTGATCTCTGTGTTTGAGGTAGCAGCATTTATTTGCTTCCTCAAGAGTTTAGAGTCTCTGCTGGTGTCATATGCAGTGGCTGTAAGTAGTGTACTTTCCTCAACCACAATTAAGAGTGACAGATGGAGAAAGTTTTCTCATAATCCAATTAAACATTCACAATTTACTCTTTGAAATTACACTTATTTGGAGTCACTGTTTCAGGCCAAGCGAAGCAATGTGATCCTGTCAGTTATTGTTGGCAAGGTTGTATTCAAGGTGAATAGCCCTTCTTTGAAACTTCGAAAGGCAAATTTGCTTCACATAAGAGAGAGAGCGAGTGAGCTGAAAAATCGTTTAATTATATTGGAATCGCCTGATTTGACTCAGGACCAAGTGGTCACTGGTTCTTGATATCTTTGAACCACTGATTTGCCCTGGTTTGCATGAAATTGCCCTGTTTTCTGCAGTGAATCACACGTTTTTATCCCAAATTTCTTTTGCATATTCTGTCGTTTAGTCCATCCTGAACTCATTTTGAGCCATTTCACTCTAGAAAAAAAACTTGAATCCAGTCATTTTCATGGGTCTACAATATTTATTCCTCTGTTTATTGAATTCAAGCACTATTTTTGGGAAATCGAAAGTCTTGTAAAAATTGGGGTTTTCTCTCTGATGGCAAGTCTGATCATTGCAAACAGATTCAAAACTAATTCAAATAGTGTTTTGAATCAAACTGATTCAAGAAAATTGTCAAAAATAATTCAATTCAGTGTCTGAATCCAAATATATTAATGATGATTTTTTGGGACTGAAATGGCTCAAGAAGAGCTATTTTGGATTGAAATTTGTAATTTGAAACTTTGAAATGCGTTTTTTTGGGACTGAAATGAGATCTGGCATTTGGATTCAGTAAAACAGACCCAAAAGATCATCAAATAATCTTCAAATCATGTTTTAGTATGTTTTCGGGTATATTTTGATCTAAAATTTTGAGTTCAGTGCTTGAATCAGTGATCAAACTTTTCTTTTCCAATTTTGAATGATTCAGAAAAAAAGATTTTGATGAGTTTTATAAACAGTTTTATTTAAACACCGATTCAATGATTTTGAAAAATTTTGGACATTTTTTATTTTCCATCCTTTTTGGGCTGGATTACCCCAAAGTTGGTGATGACTTGGATTTCCAGTTGATCATGACCGCCAATTCCATTATTTATTTATTCAATGCCATTAGTATTGCCTGATGTTGTTACTTGTTTATGTGTTATTTCATCAAGCACTGTGATTAGCCATATGTTTTTACATGGATTTTCCCATTTCTTTCGAGTCTTTAACTTTGGCAACTTGAAGTGCTCTCCTCTGGTAAATTTGGTGTTCATGCTGAATCTATTACACTATTTAATGTTCACAGGAAAAGATTTGGAGAAAACTTCCATATATTGTTATGATGGTTTCCGGGATGGCTCTGATTATACTGGCATGACATCAGTTGATGTAATTTTGTCACTCAGTTTTGCACAGGTACTTTTTTCTCCTGCCTTCTTGGGATGTTAAAGTTCTTTTGTTATTATGAACTTCGATAATTACCCAATAATTATTTATTTTCATGTAAATTTTTTTCTTTCCCTTGTCAGGACTGATGTTTGCACAACGTTCTGTTTTTTAAAGTTAGATCTTAGCATAATGTCAACCCATTCTTTAGGGAGCGTTTACCCTTGGAACTAATGACAATTACCCCGACCTAAAAATGATGGATTTTGAATCCAAAAAGTCAAGAGTACATTAGCGTGCTTCCTGCTAAGGAAGAAATAAGGACTAACTAACTGATACATGGATGTGGAATGTTCCGATCGGGTGCCCACCCACCATCTTATGATGCAACAGTGCCTAGCCACCATTGGATTGTTGGGCCAGATCATCTGCATGTATCTGTGTGTGTGTGTGTGAGCGTGTGGGTATGTAGCGTGTCTGTATTCATTTATGTTCATATGGTTCTCTCTGTGCATTAATATATGAGTGCGTGTGTGTGTGTCTGTTTGTATATATATATATACTAGCAAAATGCACACGCTATGTTTGTGTGTTGCTGAAGCAAAATGCAGTATGGAAAATCGTATAGTCTGGTGCGTTTATTTGCCAAAATAAAAGCATGGGTTGAGAGAAAATAAAGATTATCTTACCTTATAGTAAACCTTTCTTGTTGATTTACTATGAATCTAGATTCACCAGTTGACTCCTCTTCTAATTCTACCATTGGCTTCTCTTTTTAGCAGACTCCTCTATACTGGTTTAGCCTGTTTAATTATCTTTCATCTCTCTATTCTTACTCACCATAAACTTCTTGGTGGTGAAAATCTTTCCTCTACCCCTTCCGCATTTCTCCATTCTCTCTCTCTCCCCCTTATATATATACAAATACATTAACTCTTCCTCTCTCTCGCTCTCATAGTTCTGCACCTCTCTCCCCCCCTCCAACTCTCTCTCTCTCTTCCTCCCCCCCAATATGTATCCAAATACATACACTCTTCCTCTACGTCATCTTCTCAACTCTCTCTCTCTCAATTTTCTCTTCCCCTCTCTGTACCTCTCACGTTTCTTCATTCTCTCTCTCTCTCTCGCCCCCCCCTTCCCTATTTATGCAGATACATTAATTCTTCCTCTCTCTCACCCTCCCATGTTTCTCCTCTTTCTCTGTCTCTTTCTCTCTCCATTTTTTTAATATAAATATACTTTAAAAGTATATTTGTACCTATTTTTTCCTTATAAACTATACCTATTTTGCATTATAAACTATACATATTTTGCATTATAATTAGGAAAAAGTTTATTTAAGTGCGAGGCTCTAAACAATCAAATTAGAGCGCACCTCAAAATTTCACTAGAAGAGGTTGTTTTGATGCCCAAATATCCTCAAATTAATCGTCTCGACCTCAAGATGCATGGACATGAGAAAAAATGGATTTCAAGTTTTGGAAGTAATGATCTTGTAATGCATTTTTGGACCATCAATTTTGAAGATTTCTAAGTTTTCATAGATCTGCTCAATCTACACTATTTTTTAAGCTTAAAATTTATAATTAGTGATGAAAATATATTTTAAGGCTATCACAAAGATTTCCAGTATTGAAACTACATTTCTCGACACTATTTGAAGGTGCGATTTACTTTGATCGTTTAGAACCTCTGCCTTATGCAAACCGCTTCTTTATAATTATAGGTTAGAAATATCAAAATAAGTATATTCCAAAATAGTATAAAAATTTTACCTATTTTGAATTATAGTTATAAGACATGATTATCAATTTAAATATCATTTATATTTATTAATAATTTTTTAATTTTGATTTTTTAAAACTATAAGAGGACAAATTCATTCTAAATATGATTTATATTTTAAGAGAAATTTTACCTTTTGTATGTATTTGTATGTGTTACCTTTGGTGCCAAAAATTAGAACTTTTATTTCCTGAAAACTCAATATCTGTATTTCATTTGAAATAGGACATACTCGAGAGAATACAAACTCAATTGATAGTTGGTTCTGTATTTCATTCAAAATAGGATATACTCGAGGGAATACAAACTCACTTGATAGTTGTATGTGTACTTGTTATATACTTTTGCCACCTCACATAGTAATAAATGCTGTAGTTTTTTTTCTTTGGAAATTTTTATAACATGTTCCTCTCAGGGCCATACTATACTACTACTCTCTCAGAAATCGATGAGTATTTTTGAGATCTAATATTTAGAAATCTGCTTGTAATCACAAATGGAACTTTTAGTACAAGAAAATTTTAAATTTTTTATTTTCTGAAATTCTATATATATTTTCAATTAAAATAGGATATACCCTAGGTAACACAACTCATTTGATAGTTGTATGTATACTTATTATATGGTATGATACTTTATGATACATATTATTTTTCTGAACCAATATCCAAACCAATTTCTTGATTGCCACATGTCCAAACCAATTGGTGTTTTACAGCGTGTGAGTGGGCGAGCATGTCTTAGGCATGGAATGTAGATGGTTAGGTAGGTGGGTAAATGTGATGTACTAACATGTAATCCTGAGCTTGAAATTGTTAAACATTCACAAAAAATGTTGAACAAGTAATGCTCCTGCTTCATTGACATTTGGGTGGGGCATTTTCTATCTTCTCTCAAGGGAACTAGAAATCTGGTAACGATCTTTGGGCTGTTTTTAGTCTTTAATGACTGTTTATTGATTACTGACATGGGTGATGGTAGTACAGTAATTGTCCTGCCTCTGATACTCGAACTACTAGCAACTTTCTCCCTTTACCAATAATTTATGTTTTATCTTTTCCATTATTCACTTGAAAGATTATTTGTTATTGGGATGTTAACTATTGAAAGGACCAAGAGCAATATAGAAGTGCTTTTTAATTTCTGTGAACTCTTTTATTATTCTGATATTTGATATTGATAATTGTGCAATCCTTTGTAATGATATATTGTTTTCAATGTTTGAGAGTTAATTGTGATTGTCCATTATTGTTAAATATTTCCTTAGAACTTTTAACCCCCGTCCCAGAAAGGAGTTATTGATATGCTTCAAGCTGAATTTAGTTTATCAACGAATTTTATATGATAAAACAAAACCTTTTATTGTTGTATGCTTTTAGGTGCTGGCTGTTAGAAGTACTACACTTATGACTGCTCTTTTACTGCAGTAACACATTTGTTCCTTTGTAATATCCTGTAGGAATTCTGACATAGAAGCATTTCTTTCTACAGAAAAGCTGAACTAAAAGATTATATGACCTTCTTCACCTGCTGCCCGCGACCTACTGTTCATCGGAGTATTGTTACCTTTCACTGGAGAGATATCAGAGGATCATAGTTTATGAATTTCTTATCCCACAATTTTTTTAAAAAAACTTTGCGGGTATGTATGGCATCTATTATATCTTAACAATATCACTTCAATATGGTGGCATTACCTTTTTTTTTTTTTGATGGTGGAGCTCTCTCTCACTCACTCTCTCCCACACACATACACATACACACACCATGTGTTTCACCAGCTTCCATGCATCAGAGAGATGGGAAGGGTGGCAAAGTTTTGTAGTCATTGTCTGCTTTAGAGACTGCTGAGCCTTTTATTTTCTTTTCTTGTTTTTTTCTTTTTCCAATGTTAACGTGGAGTCTCATAAGCCATGGTACCACACCTAAATGAGGGTGCGCTTATGGAAAAGAAAAGCCATATATGAGGTATGAGGGTTCACAAACTTACGATGGATTCTAGAGGGAAAATGAGTTTTTGAATTTTAATCATCTCCAATGTTTTAAAAACTGGACTTATTGGTTGAACTGGCCACTAGTTGTATCGCTCTGGATCTGCCAGATTGGTAATCTAGATTGGTGAGAATCATGCCAAGAAATATGGTGTGAATTGGGCAATTCCAAGGTTTAGAGACCCAGATTGCCCATCCACCTATTTTGGGTTGAACAGCACAAGTGATTAAGCATATTTAGAAGGCCAAGCTTTTTATGTTTCCCCTACAACATATAATTTATGTACTTCCCCTTATCCAACCGTCCATTCTGAATGGATGATTGAGATGGCCCATTAAAATATCACATCTCTACAATTTTATTTTAAAATTTTTTCTATGAAATATTTTGACACCAAATTTTGGGCATCGCTCCTCTCATACTCACATTTCTAAAAAAATAAAAAAATATTCTCAATAAAATAAAATGATCAAAATACCTTTGAAAGTTTCAATGGGTATTTTGATCATTATATTTTATCGAAAAATTATTTTTAATGTTTTTTAGGTGCGTCCCATTGAGAAGATTACTCGTACCAAATTTCATATTCATACAATTTGTAGAAAAAAAAAATTTCATATGCATATAATTTGTAGAAAAAACAAAGTAAAGATAAAATATTGAGGCTTCGGATCTAGATCAAATGGTGAGTGGTTCACTTGATTTAAATTGAACGGTTGGACGGGAAAAAGTATGCATCTTCTATGCTGAAGGGTAAGTATAGTAATCTTTACCTATCCAGAAACACCTGTTGGTGCCAAATCTATGTGGAGCTGGGTTGGAGGCTTAGTGATAATTTATCGTTGCGGGTGTGGTATGGGATGCGTATTTATCATAATATTATTGTCTTATTAAATACATCTCTTTTATTAGGAATTGTTTGTTAATTTATCATAAATTTGTTATAAATAAAGGAAAGTTTGTCAAAAAGGCACTCAATAGATGAATTATTTAGTAACTCATATTTTTTACTTAATGTAGTATCTTGCTCAAGACAAATGATAGATTTTTGAGGTGCACCTTAATTCTAACCTTATATACTCTTTGTTGAAAAGCCTATCGGAATTGGTGTTTTACGTATGTTTTGAAAAAGGGAAATTATAAAAAATATCCTTATTTTTTCAAAAAATCAGAAAAGAAAACTTTTTTTTTTTCGAAATCTCATTCGTACCCATTACTTTTTATTTTTTATTCTGGTTACCTAAATACTTAACCATGGAGGTCATCATGGTCTTATCATGACCGTGATGCTCGTGAATCCCTCAACTTAATGGGAACGAAACATCAGGTCTTTAAGTTAGATTTCAAGCTCCCAAAAGACTTTCTACTCCTGTGGGAGAATGCTATTCATTTACTTCCTTGGTCAAAACTTAGACTAGGAATATCTTTTAAGATCCCAAAATTTGGGGATGTGATCTCTAAAACCCGGTAACCAGCCTCAAAGAAAAAAAAAATTAACTCACTTTTTATGTGCCTAAAAAAAATGGCATCCCAAGATTGCCCCATGCAATTTTTGAGGGAAAGGTTAGATTTTCAAAAGTTCAAAATCGAACTTCTTTTCTAGATGGATCCAAAAATTTTAATTAAAAAAATCACAAATAAGTGTTTTGCCTGAAGTAGTAAATATATAGTATGCTCCCAAGGGAGCATACTATACGATCTTGTTTTTCATTGGTATCTGAGCGAACTCATGTAAATGTCCACCATTTGTTATATAGAATGGGCAGTGGATGTCCTGTGGTTGTGATAGCCTCAATACAACAATAGTGTATGCTATACTTGTGCTGAATATGGTATCATTCTCTTAACAGGATTGTATAGCATACTACTATGGGCAATTTATCAAAATACTTATTAGATCAAGTAGTTAACATTCTGCCCATTTGCCACTATTCTAAAACAAGACCATGTGTTTTTCCATAAGTAATTTGAAAACAAATAAAAAAATATGGGGACATAGTTAAATTGTTTATTTCTCATGGGTAAATTTGATAAACATAAAACTTCATAGGGATGCCTTTGAATCTAAAGATTTTCCAATTTATCAGACCAAGACAGAATATACGAAATACGATTTTAGTAATAATATAAGTAAGAACAGAGAATTAGTTAAGATTGATGGCTAAAAAGTACTTAAAAATAATATTTCCCATATATTGGGTCGCTAATCCATGAGAATAGATAAATTAGGAAAGATGTTGTGCATAAATTTAAATATGGGTAGACAACTGGAGATGTGCTTCTGGAGTCTTATATGCTCGTCGCAAACTAATGAAATTGAAGGGGAAGTTATATATGACGATTGTAAGACCAACCATGCTTTATATGACATAATGTTGTACTGTAATGGAACAACATACTGATAGAATGAGTGTACTTGAGTTGTAGATGTTGAGAGGGATGAGTGGCATGAGAAAAATTTATAAAATTCATATTAAATACATCTGGGAAGCTTAGGGGTAACTCCAATAGGCTGTAAGATGATGGAAAATAGACTTAGATGGTATGGCCATGTAAAGCATCGACCTAAAACAATATCGATTATTAGGAGCTATTTGATTTAAGTTGAAGGTTCAAAAAGGGCAAAAACAAAGACCAAAATGACATGGATAGAAGTAGTGAAAATAATGGTGACTTACAGTCTGACAGAGGATATGGCTTTTGATAGAGCGGAATGGCATAATAAGACTTGCATAGCTAGTTGGGATAAAATTTCGATGATGAATTTGATATATTAATATAGTACTAATAGTATAAGGACTTCATAATATCTTTAATCAGAAGTGAAATCTCACAACTTGGGATGTGTCATATTGTATTTCAATTTTATTTTGTTTTTAATAAATAAATGGGGAAATGGTCCTTACTCTTTTTGGACTTTGAACCCAAACAACTTCAAACCTCGAGCCACTTGATGGTCAAGGTGGTTGTGACCTCGTTGTGCTAAAAAGTAAAGGATGAGATTTATATAAGGTGTCGACCTTGTAGTATTGAAGTAAAGCGTGTTGAAATCTTTAAAGGAAGAGATGGACCCACTCCCATGATTAAGGGCAGTGTCGCGAGGCTATCGATCGCAGAGATCAGGCTTTTACCAGAACTGTGAGAATTCTGTAAATTTCTCTGTACCTCTCCATGGCTATGAAACCCTTCTTAAAGAGGGATAGAGGAGGCCGTTTTCTAACGTTCGGCTTTTGCTTGAAATCTCTAAGAAAACGTGGCCCTGTAATCCTAGGACGTGGTTGGTTACTTTCTAGACGTTAGATAACGACACTTTCTCTCTTTAAGAAGCCTCACTTTTTTAGTGATAAGCATTAAATTATAAGAGAGAAATATTGCACGTTTAAAGGCCCCATGGCCACACACACGTACCAACATCTCCCACTTAGCCATGAGGGCCAAATATATTGAAATATCATAAATTCTTTACCACTTAATGAATTTACATTTATGTGCATATTTTTGTCATGAGGCTTTCACGCAAGTGCGGATATACATCTCATAACAAAAAATATCCAAAGTCATGTTATGGTTTTTCACGCGAATGCGATTTTTCTTTTCATGACCAAGACATCAAAAAAATATCTCATTTGAGAGTTCCTGACTTAAATATTTTTAAGTCTCATCAAAGCTACATGCTTTGATAATATTTCTGCACTCAATCCCTTTGTTAAAGGGTCTGCAATCATATGTGAAGATGGAAAATAACTTACAATTATTTCATTCTTTCCAATAATATCATAAATATAACAATAACCAATTTCAATGTGCTTACCTTTGATACTATAAGCTCTATTTCTAATTGATGAAATAGCAGCCTGATTATCACAAAAAAATTTAACAAGTTCGTCGGCTATATTCAGCTTCCAATCATTTATGAAGCGTTTAATCCAGATGGCATAAGTTGTAGCAATGCTACAAGCAATATACTTGGCTTCCATAGTATACTGAGCTACTCAACCTTGTTTTTTACTAGACCAAGAGACACATCTACCTCCAAAAAGGAATACAATTCTTGAGGTTGATTTTCTATCATTTGGGTCTCCTGTAAAATCTATATCAGAGTACCCAATAACCTTTAAGTTGTCAACTTGGAAGCACAGCTTGTAATTTTAGTTTTTTGAATATATTTGAGTATCATTTTTACAGCTTGCCAATGAGGCATCTCAAGATTGCTCTGAAATCCATTTACAAGACCATATGCATGACTCAAATCAAGTCTTGTACACAACATGACATAATTTATGCTTCCTACAGCTTAAGGATATGGAATTCTTTCCATTGTAGCTTTGTCACTATCATTTAATGGACACATTTTCTTTGATAATTTCAAGCCTTTACAAAGAAGTGTATCTATGAGATTGCAATTTTCCATCTTAAATCTATTTAAAACACTTTCTAAATAATTTTATTGAGATAAACATAGAAGTCTTGAACTTCTATGTCTTGTTATCTTAATGCCCAATACATATGAGGCTTCTCCCATATCTTTCATCTTAAAAT